CCGCTTCGCTTCACTTCGTCGAATGCTCAGTGTCACCCCTTCTTCTCTTTTGCACGCCTTGCGTGAGGGGCAGAGGCGCAGAGGGCGCATCATCATGTCATTTCTGCGACGCCGCCAGGGCGCCGCTTCGAGAGGGGCAGTGGTGCTTGCGTTTGCAAGCTGGACATCTGCCTTGCGAGAGAGATTGCGTCGAGAGGCTACGTATCGAGGGTCGGGGGCCTAGAAGCTCTTCGTCGAGCTGGCCGATCTAGGCAGGGCCATTGGATCCGCCTCGTCTGCCTTGCGTCCGCGTGCCGACCACAGCACGCCGTCCAGCAGCGCCGCGAGGCTCAGGATGCCGCCGACAATGGCACACGTGCTCGTGAGAAAGTGCGAGAAGCTGCTGCGGCGCTGCGTGTGCACCACCTTGAGTGCCGCGGGGTCGATGTTGATGTAGACTCCCGGCACGCCGGCAAAGCCGTGCTGCACCTGCGCGTGGCCCTCCTTTGAGCCGCCCGCGGCGGGCTTGCCGCCCGCGGCGGCAGCCGCCTGGGCGCCCGGCGACAAGTCGCGCTCGTACGACGTCACGCTGTATTGATGCGTCTTGAGCAGCTCGCCCGAAAGCAGACGGTACTCGGTCGGCACGACTTTGAGGAAGTACTGCTCCGAGGCGCGCGTCAGCCAACCCCCCCGCACCGCACCCGGGAGGTCGAGAAAGCCACTCGCCTGGAACATGAATTGACTCTCCTCGGTGTGCGCCTTGGTGCCCGTCAGAGGATCCTTGATGCCCAATCGCTCCTTGATCGACTTGTTCTGCCTCTTCCTCTTGCTGCTCCCCGCCTTCTCCTCTGCCAGTCCAGCCGTGTACTCCTCGTGCGAGGCAAAGGACAGCTCATTGATCACGTGTCCGAAGTCCTGCCGCATGGCAATCAGCACCTCTCGTGCACAGTGGGTTCCCCCCGGGGGGGGGGGGGGGGGGTGAGCGGGGGAAGAACTCACGTGGTGCTCCTTGCCCTGGCCCGCCAAGTACGGCACCAAGTCGTGCACGTGCATGTTGTTGCGCTGAAACGCCCTGCCCGGCGAGAGATGGAAGTTGCCGACGACCTTGTTGACGTGAATCATGCCCGCGACGTTGCATCCCTCCGTCGCCTGTTCCTTGATCTTTTCGCTCCAGTGCTCCGACACACACTTGCGCAGGCGCATTGACATCAGCCCCAGACTGCGGACAGCGAAGAGAAAGAGAGGAGAAGGACAAGACACGTACCTGGTCAATCGTATCCGGATTCGTGAAGCTCCACCCACGCGCGGCGTACGCGGTGCGCACATCCTCGCACGTGTTGCAGCAGCCCGAAGCATTCGGCGACTCGCCGCCATAGCAGCTGCCACAGTAGTTGGCGCCGTGCAGCGTGGCAAGCCGCGCGGCTTCGCCCTTGAGGCCTGGGGCGAAGGAAGGATCAGATTACGCACCGTGCGCTAGGAGGGGCAAATGCCCAGGACATGGCTTGAAGAGCCTGATCCCGACGCCTGTCGCGTTCTCTCTCTCTCGAGACAGCCGCCTTCTCCCGCCGCTCCTCATCCTTACAGCCTCCACCACCGCGCG